CAGTGAACCGCAAAACTTTAGAACACCAGGAAAACTATTGGAAAATGCCTTCAATTTCGATTAAAAATAGATAAAATATACCTGGTTTCCCAGAAAATAAATTGTAAACCTTTAAAACTTTCCAGAGGTATTTGTCTGTGATAGATTTTCAAAAGTCTTTCAAGGATGATTAAGAACTTTAAAAAATCCAAAGTAAATTTTAAGAGAATTTTAAAGGATTCTAGGGATGACACCAAGATAAATCAGAGAAGAATACCAAAGTACAGACTACGAAAGTCTCATGTAAAATTAAGTGCTCTGAGGACCGATTTCTTCATCTCCACTTAAATTTTAAGCCAGGTTTACCTATATAGTTTGGTTATAATTCCATTATAATTGAGAGTGCATTTTAACGAGAGTTCTGAGAAGAATTCTATGATGATTGGATGAGGATTCAAGGTCCAATTCTAATAAGAATTGAGGGGATTAGAAGGAAAGGGGTGTAAGTGACTTTAATCAATTCTCCTCATCGACTTTCTCTTTTGATAGTCACAGCTTTATAAACAGATTTTGCGCTATTTCTATTTATTTTGCAGCTGAATTATTAACGAAAGAGAAGGTCGACGAAGAGAATCGATCAAAGTAACTTACATCCCATTCCTTCTAACCCCCTTAATTCAAAATTAGTTCTGAAATTCCAAGAGAATTCCAATGGAATCGAATTTTGAAGGTTCAATCTCAAATGAATTCTGAGAAGAATTTCAAAGTTCGGTCGGATTCTTGTTTTGAGAATTCAAAGGAAATACTATGGGAATTCTAAGGAGAATACGAATCGAATTTCCAATTAAAAGCATGGTCCAAGATTATTCTAAGCAGAAATTTGTGAAATTTCTGAGGTTAATTGTATAGAAATTCTAAGGAGTGTTTGAAATGGATTTATCGAGCCTTCAGGGAGTTCCTAGAAGAATCAATAAAAAAATCGAAAATGGTCTACTTTAACTAATTATGTGTTATTACTTCATGTGTGAATTTAACAATTTACATAGGTGAAAATGGGAATTACTATTTGATATGATAACGTAAGCAAAAGTAAATTATTCAAATCACTTCAAATGCTCTTCACATGAGATTACGTTGTGAGATTTGATTAAATTAGAGGAATTTATGAAAATTTATTTTAATTTCCATGAAATAAAAAGTTTTTTTTTTTCAATATCAAACCGTATTTGAATGGTTTGTTATTTAGTATTACCAAGTCACTATTTGGTCACTATTTCCGTAGTTTTAGTCACTAAAGTCACTACTATTATATCGCATCAGCACAACCAGCTCTGCAGCCGAGGTCGATGGGATTTTTCTGAGCCATAAAAATCTCAGGTCACGTCTTCCTTCGGAAGGGAAGTAAAGCCGTTGGTCCCGGCCCATGTGTGTTTGAATGGGTGCGATATCCTACGCAGGTGTGGAAGCTGCCTTTCTGCACATTCGATTGCCGTCAATGGATGGCAATCGATGTCCGTCGGTGATTGGCACTATATTGCGGAACAGAGACCGACGTTAAATAAAGGACAGGATGAAGAAAAGTTCCGTGAAACCCGAAAAGAAATGAGGCAGCAGTCGCTTGAGAAGAAGAAAAGTCTTGTTCGACAGGTGTCACAGCGCGGTAGTGAAGCTTCGAGCGTTTGTCAAAGTGAGACGGAGAAATCTGTTGAGAAGGTAAAAAGTGGTTGCATAAATCCGGCAAGCAGACAAAAAAATGAAGCTCACGTCAGTAGCCAAGGATTCTCGCTAAGTCCGGACCCAGAAAACCAATCTTCGACGACGTTCCCCGTCCAGTTCCTGACAAAGCTCGGAGAAAAATCCAGCCTAACGAAAAGTCGGACAAGACGGAGACGAGCGACCGAGATATCAACAGTCAACAAGCAGAGAAGGGCTCTACCAGTCATCAGTTAGCAGCTCGTCAAGTGATGGGAAAAGATCTTCCGGTGTTTTCGGGAAATCCGGCGAAGTGGCCTATCTAGATCAGCAACTTCGAAAGGTCAACAGCTACATGTGGATTTTCCCAGGATGAAAATCTGATTCGGTTACAACGCTGCATGAAGAGTTCTACATTGGAAATGGTGCGCAGCAGATTTCTTTCTCCGAATAGCGTTCCTCGTGTTATCAAGACTTTGCAGTCACGCTATGATCGGCCAGAAACTTTGATTAAGGCACTCACCGAGAAAATCCGTCATCTTCCTCCTCCAAGAATGGACAACTTGGAAAGCATAATCGACTTCGGTATGGCGGTTGACAATCTGGTGGAACACCTGAAGAATGCAAACCAATCCATCGCTGCTTCACGATCTTGTAGGAAAGCTTCCTGTCGATTACCGGTTGAAGTTGTCAGCATTCAAGTGTGCCGTAGAGGAAGTGAATCTTGGAACGTTTGGATTGTTCGTGTCTTCGTTGGTGGAGCTAGCGTTCGAAGCGATGGATGACACACCGACTGGAAAGTCAACCAAAGGAGTGCATTCGAGGCCTAAAGATCGAGGTTACGTACAAGCTCATTCAGAGTATCCTCTTCGTCGAACTTCAACCACACCGACAAAGCAGCCGATAAAGATCTGTGCATATTTGCTCAACGCTTTCAATGAAAGTAACGTCGATTTTCGAGTTGAAACGAAATCTCATTATGCGTTATATCCTGTATCCGTTGCTTTTTGCTAGATAAATATTTGTATGGAAGGTAAATTAAACATATTACGTGTAATCTTCAAGTGTTTTTACGTGAGAAATACTTTACATATACAGTGTATCTCAAAATTGAGCGTACAGATGTCGTTAAATTTTAGAAAAACAGCTGTAAAAGATCAATTTAAAGAGATACGTTTCTGAATTTTTGGTTGTTGAACCATCATACATTTATCAATTATTGGTACAGTATTGGGCTTATTTGGTTGCGTTTATTAAAAGTAAGAGCTATTTGAGAAAAACACTTTTTTTCTTGAAATACCTTAATATCTTAAAATACAATGAACTAAACTTCTTGGAATTTTTCTCAGTTTAAGTTATAATAAAGATCAATAATATTCTACTATTTTTTCTTAAATTTGTTGAAAATCGAGCGTTTTACTTAAATAAATCTAACTTCATACAGCTTCTTCCAATAAAGTCCAAAACTATAGCGAAAAGTCAATAACTGTCTCTAATGTTGGCCTATGGATCTAAGATTGGGCCAATCGCTAAAAATCTGCTATTTATCAATTTTATCTAGATGAACGCGTCAAAACATACTAATGGATATTTTTGGTCGCTATTGAAAATTTAGTCGATTGCTGAATTTATGTATGGGCCCAAATTAGGGGCATTTAGGCCGACATATTACCATTTCCGTTATCTGTTTAACCACCAGCCAAGATTTAAAAATATATATTAAAAAAATCCACTAGGGTGTACGCTCAATTTTGCGATACACTGTATATTTTCATTTCCCGTCATATAATCTACGTCATGAAGCCTCGGTTAATGTGTTTCATGAAAGACGACGCTTCACCGAAGTTTGAAAGAAAGACGAATGAAGCGACGGGAGAAAGATAGACAAGCGATTGAAAATTTGTTTGCAGACGCCGACTGAGCTGCTAGATGCTGCGAAGTTGCTCGACTTCAACCGAAAAAGAAAGCAAGCAGTCTCTTTGTCGCATCGGTTTTGTCGATTGAAGCTGATATTGTGACGCCCGGATTGTAAGATGGATTAACTGAAAATACAATTGGACCCAACGTTTGCTTTCTATATTAAAATGTAATGAACAAAGATTGAAAAAGCGATCCATTTCTGACCCTAAATATTACCACACTAGATGCAAAACCCTGGTGACAGAGGATTGATATCTCGAACAGAGTAAAATAACCTTGGTCCATCAAGTTAGGGCGAAAAAATCATTTTAAAGGGTAAGGCAGAGTTTGCTGTACTACACTGGATTCTTGTTTTAATCGATGAATGCATTCGCGTCAAAGGGCAATCGTGTAAATAAATGGAGTTATTTTGAATAAAACTACTTAATTTTCAACAACACTTTTTCATGCGAACGCATCTAATCCAATAAATAAGTCCCTTGCCGGAATCAAAACATACTCGCAAAAAAATCCGTTTCCATGTTTGTGAACGAGAGCCGTGATAATCCCATATCAGTACTCTTTATGGAAAAATAGGCATTGAGGAAATGACAGTTGAAGTTCCATGTATATATTTAAAACAAAATCATAGTAAATTAACGGATAATTTTATCAAGTTAAAATCAGTAGGAACGCAGCTTGCATGGTTTGTTATATCAGCGAAAAATAGTGCTATTCAAAAAGCAGAACTGTAACTTAGCCTCTGGACGATTTAATATCACGATGGGACTGGTATGCGATTACTTTGCTTGATGGGACAAACTGACTTGATGTTGTTTCACATTTTTCATGATTTAAGTCTGTAGTTTATCACGTAATATGAAAGTAGATTTCAATTATTAATGGATAGCGTTATTATCTTAAAATTAACCACAATCCATATGGGACTGATATGCGATTATAAGCAGTATAGTTCACAGTGTATATTTCCTTCTACGCGAGGACCGTAAACTATGGTTCACGGCTACAGTTACTGAATATGGGAACGGTTATTTTTCCAAGTAGCTCTGTAACTGGAAACCAATCCAAACTCAATCGTCCTATGTAATATTTTGAATGCAATATGTATTGAAATGTAATGGTTCGCGTATTCTATTATCTTACCTAACTGGTGCTAAAGTATACAATGTGCTATACGGGGCATTTTAAAATTAAGTTTTATAGAACATAGAGACAGCTTTGTGTGTAACTACCGTACAAATCCTCGTTACGTATCTTCAACTTCTTACTCGTATTTTGAACACTGACGTCATCTTATAGCTGAACTAATCAATTCAACATCCCTAAGCCTATATCAAGCCAGCTATGCTATGTTATTGAACGTACCAAACCTGTCTAACACCATTTATGTTCGATTTCCCCCCATAAAGGAAAAACAAATCCTTTCGGCCCCGGGAGCGACCGAAGAAGGGCTTGAAGAATCTGCAGTCGGTGAAGACGCTCTCCGCCGGGCAGAATCTCTCCAACAACCAAACCGCCATCAAGACTCGCAAGCAACCGCTAACGGTTACGGCTCAGTTCCAAATCTCGCTGATCGCCCTCATGGAGACGCTCAACCAGGTAAGAATGTCGCGATTGCATCCCTTCTATTTCGATATCCATTCACGGCTGTTTTTGTTTTTGCAGGCGAACCCATTCTTCATCCGGTGTATCAAGTCAAACCCGAACAAGATATCGAACCAGTTCGATGAAGCCACCGTCACCAGACAGGTAAGAGTTTGATAGTGCATCTTTTTACGCATCGTAAACAATAAATTGGTCTACATATCGCATGAGGAATTGAATGTGTTACCTAGATTTAAGGTTCGAACGACAGGATCTGAACGTTATATTCATTAAGAAAAATTTTACTAAACGAAATCAGGCGTCGAGTCATAACCCGTTCACATGGATCAATGACATCATCGTCACTCGTTATCCGCAAAATTACTACAAAAGGGCTAATCACAAACACGTCGCTTACGCAAAATTCCGAAATATACAAGAGATCAAAAAGCAGCACCCTATCTCCTCAAGTACTCGTCTTAAGCTAGAACTGCCTTTTGTGATAAGCGCAAAGTCGCACTTTTTGTCACGTATTTTGCCATCTTTGGTTTTGACTCAGCTGTGGAGCTGCAAATCCTGTTCCTGAGCCCAGACATGCAGGGGGTTAACATTACACGATGCAATTACTCTTTCGCTTTACCTGCCGGCTGCCCTCTGCGTCTATTTATGCGAACGATGACAGCGAAGTAAAAACCTGGAGAATTCGCTCCAATACCGAGACATATGATCGGAGACTTTGAGGCTTATACCTAAATGCAGGTAATTTCTTTCTTCCCTTTAGACCCAGAACCTACAACCTACAACAACAAAAAGCATATTGCTACCTTTTGTAGGGGAACATTATTACCATCCAAAAGGTCCCGTTTGTGCCCACCTTTCGATTCTTGCCGATTCTTTCTCAGTATCATTTCTACGTCGGATCAGCTCGGTTCGAATGACGTGTTCGGTTCGCGACTTACGTAACAAGAAGCCGAAATTTCTGGATCATTCGTTATACCTATTTAGTGACATGAAACCGAATCAATGAATGAGAGTGATGTGATGTGGCAAACAAGTGCAAGTGCAGTTACAGTAACTAATACACCTGACAACGTAATGTTTAATGACGAAAAGTGTACCGCCGATCCGGGTGAATATGACCCTCGTCTGTGCTAGAACAGTGTTTGTCTTGGTACTACTGATGGTTGATAGTTTATTGATTGCACTTCTAACTGCCACTGGTTTGATGCTGAAGCTGAAGATGATCCTCACGGTGGGAGTGGTAGGTTCAATACTTTTATTAAAAACTCAAATTTTGCTAGATCCTGTCTAGATAGAGACGCTTGGATTAATTCGTCATTGATTTCAGTTGATAGTTTGTATTTTATTAAGATAGTGAAGTTAATGTTCGTTGGTTTAACACAGTCAAGACACAAAACAAAGGATGTTAGCTGCTTATTCTTATAGATTTTATTCACTCATCCAGCTGCTTTTAACCCCCAGGTACCGTGGGGGAGCCATATTCGACGCAGGTCCAAACTTAACGCACTTTCGTACTACAGGTATACCTCGATATAACGTAACTGTCACTTTTGACTTCCATTGTCGATTTCTCGCAAACGATAATTCATTCAAGCGAATTAATAACACCATCGGACAGATGAGACAATACCCCACCTATTGTTGACGTGGATTTGTATGATTTAATTGATATTTGCGGGATACAAAGTATCATAGAGGTAACTCTGAGACTAGTATGTCCCGAAGAAACAAGCTCAACATTTTGGCTCAGCTCTGGTACTATCTTCGGTCCCAAGCTAATCGATGCACCCCTCGAAACATAGGAAAATCCATGAACCCCCTTCATTTTATCTGTCAAACTTTCATATCTAATCAAAACAAACGTAGTGTAGTACTAGAATTTCGACTAGAATGGGGTACGTTAATCTATTTGCTTGGAACCAATAGGCTAGTCAAGTCGAGGGGGGCGACTCTATCTACGATGCAGGAAAAATTGTGTTTTGCTGTGGTTAGCTAACCAGCTACGCAGCTGCGCGCACGCTGAGTAGATATGAAGAAGATTGATGACGATTTTGAAGATTTCCTGCAAAAAGATGATGCGCGATACGAGAAATCAAAGAAGATTTTTCGAAGTTTGATTCGCTAGTGTGAGATTTGTTGAGCATCTAGAATTGAGATTTAGATGTGTCGCCCCCCTCGAGTCAAGTAGTGAGCCAATTTAAAATCGTTAGTTTCATTCAAAGTAAAACATTCTTTGTTTCTGTCTTTATTTTTCCTCACGTAAACAAGTGACTATTTCTTAAATTTTTGTATGGGACCCTTAACATACATATATGTAGAAGCCTTTAGGCTAAAGCCCTAAAGGGAAAGATGGGGATAATTGATCCCCGTTTTTGATTTTTTGAATATCTCAGCTAATAATTTGTAAATTCAGTCTTCTTGCTTGTCACATCACACAGTTGTTACGAAGATACAGTTCAATGCACATAGCAGTTGAAGAAAATTATTTTTAGTTATGTTCAACCCGTTTTGTTGAAATTAGGAGAAGTAGATCAAGTATATCCACTATAGGGAGACTTGATCCAGAATGGTTTGATATCTACCCGCTATTTTGAGGCTACTCGTTTTTGAGCATTAATTGATACCGTAAAACGGGGTATCTTTGATAATTCGGGTAACTTTGATAGTATAATATAAAGATTAAATTTATTCGCTGCGCTTTTTCCAAATTATACCCCGTTCACATTACAGCGTATATCACATACATCTAGTTTTCACTGGAAATCCTGTGTATGAGTGCTCATTGCAAGACAGCCTATATTACGTGATATAGGCTGTAATGTGAACGGGGTATTAGAAACATTGGTTCCATATTGTAGCTTATACCCCGGACAGACTATGGCTAATATCATGTAATATAGGCTGGCTTGCAATGAGCACTCATACATCTAGTTTTCATTGGAAATCCTATATATGAGTGCTCATTGCAAGCCAGCCTATATTACATGATATTAGCCATAGTCTGTCCGGGGTATTAGGGTATTTCCGTTGATATCGTATATAGTTTTTATATATTATCTTCGATGTAAGAGTGAACCGAGTGATGTAACGTAACAAACAAATAAACTTTATTTTAGGACAGAATACAAAGTTATTATTAATACTGTTCAGCCGGCGATTACTAATGACGTTTCATTCTCTGATGACAAGATGACTGCGATAGCATCCGGTCGAATGACAGCTGTCGGGTGACAGCCGTGTGTGTAGGGGAATAGGGTCGCACTCCAACACCTCCCCTTTCAGAAGAGCTGGTACGGCTCGTAGTGTACCGGTGCATGCCGTTGTCTCGAAGAGCGACGCAGTAGTGTTTCCTCTGGATCAGGTACTCGAAATGGAACTCGAGCTCGACGTTGTGGAGTAGACGGTTCGAAGAGCCCTCGCAAGAACTCTCGCTGCAGTTCATTTAACCCTTCCGGTTCAGCTGGTGGTGGTGCTGCTCCAGTAGCAGTCGAATCTTCAGACGGCTTCAGACCCCAAGTGTCTAGCAGAATATTAAGTGGAATGGTTTGCTCTGCTTGATCGGGTCAATCGTCATAACGTTTCCGTAGCTGATTGCTGTGTGAGCGGATTAAACGTTGCCGTTCCGGGAGCCACACATTATACATTACTCGTCCTACACGTTCTACGATTTCTCCAGCGATCCAGCTCCAGTTGTTGCCTTGGTGCACTTGTGCATACACCTTGTCCTGTACATCAAAGTTCTTCTCCTTCGCACTATGTTTTGTGTTGAATTGACGATCTTGCTTGCTGTTGTCATGCTTGGTGAACTTGCTGGGTGGACGAAGGAGTTCCAAAGAGGTGCGCATGGGTCGGCCAAGCAGGATTTCAGCAGGTGCACTACGACAGGGTGTTGATCTGTAGCAATTTAGGAAGATATCGAGTGCTTCGTCCAGGTCTTCCCCTCCAGCCTGAATCTTCTTGACAGTCCTTTTAAAGGTGTCAACAAAGCGTTCCGCCTGTCCGTTGCTTTGGGGATGGAACGGTGCTGTTTTGAGATGCATTATCCCGTTTGTCTCGCAGAATTCCTCGAAGGTGTCGCTAGTAAGCTGCGGACCGTTGTCGGTCACCAAAACTTCCGGCATACCAAATCTTCCGAAGATCTTTCGAAGACTCGACACTGTAGCAGCTTTGGTTAGGGGAACTAGGGGCAAGAGTGCCATCCTCAATATATTTTGAAAATGAAATCATTTCAATCCTATCTTACGATGAACCTATGCACGGTATTCCTATGAAGCATTCTAAAAAGTTCTGTCCGAATCGAAGTCGTAAAAAAATGCAAAAAATCATTTTGTGTTGATGCATTGAAAAGCTAGTTTTTTATAAGAATAAGGCATCATAAAATAAGGTTTTCGAAATTTCCAATTTATTTTTTTTCACAATTTCTGCATTGAGACGTCACTATTGATGGTTGATTGAAACATTAGTAACAATAAATTATTAAATATTTTCTTTAATTAATCAAACATTATATTCCTAAAAATAAACTTTATACGGGGCAAGAGTGCCACCCCTACATTTATGTATTAAATTGTACAAAACTGTTCAGAAATTAGCACAATTGGGCATTTATGTTTCCAATTTACATTGTCTTCGTGAAATTTTGGAAAACAAACTGTATAAAATAGTATCAAAAATAGTTTCCATTTGAATTCTTTGACGCACATGGTTTATATGTTTTGGATAAAAACAAATATCGTTAAGTCAATATTTTAGTGCAATGAACAATAAAAGCAGTTGCTGTCATACCTAAGAATAGTAATTTGTTGTTTAGAAATGAACATTTATCAGTTTCACTTCATTTTAGACATATGGTCTTTTTGCCCCATAAGAGTGGCCCTCTTGCCCCGTAGCATTTTTTAGAGCAGGTACGACATGACATTTTGAAAAAATCATTAACATTTTTTGATGGGGTTTAATTTTAATTTCAATGATGATACATGGAGACAAGGTTATAAACTTACAATTCGGTTCACGAACTCCTATAAATATTCACGGAATCGCATATTAAAACGCGCTATCATTAGGGTGACCTTCTTGCCCCTATGCGTTTGGTCGGAATGATTTCTGGCCATTTGGAGAATGAATCCACTACTAGTAGGAAGTAT